TAGCTGATATAAGACTGGATGGAGATTACAACCACCAAGAACTGATGAGACTGCTGAGATTAGGAATCACTTGTACTCATTCAAACCCAGATTCAAGACCAAAAATGAGGCAGATAGTTAAAATACTAGACGGAAATGACCAATGCTTCTCTAAAGAACAAAGAATGGAAAGCATAGAAGGTTGGAAACAGAGAAATGCAACTTCTCTGTCACTGGTTAAGAGGATCCAAGCTCTGGGAATACAGTGAAAAACTCTCTTTTCCTCTTCTTTCTCTTTCTCTTTGATCTCTACACAGAGTTCTTGTTCATATTTTGTAATGTAGATAACAGTCAAGTATGCCTTTTGATGTTCCATTTTGAGTATCAAGATAGCAGTCAATTGTGTTATTGCACGTCCACAGCCTTAGACCAATAGCCTTTTCCAATCTAATCATTGAAATGCAATAAAAAAACGGGAAACTATCCATACTTGGTGATAAATAATGGCAGCATAATCAATAAAAGGCTCTTCTGCCTTTTTAACTCGCATGATTACCACACAGGCATTTCATCGAACATCTTGAGTACAAAAGTCATGATGTCAGAATTGAGTCTTACACACACAAAACAATTCAGAAAATAAACAGTAAATAATGCAAAGTTCATTAGAGAATTGAGGTATTCATAGAGTTCATATCAAAATGCAAGCGAATCGAGAGTAACCAAGATCAGAAAATTTACTCAAAACTGCATAAAAGGTCAGAAAGTGGAAGTAGAAGAAAAACCTGCCGCCCCATGAATCTTCAAAGGCCATTGACTGTTGAAAAGAGAGATTTAGGAATCGTACAAAAAGCCTGACGTTTTCTTGATTGGCCAGCGTCAGATAAATGAATACACAAAGAAAAGTCGTGGGGTTTCTATAGACGCCATTTGAATTTCAACGCTCAAAACCAAATCCAGCTGAATTTTACTTTCTGGGTTTTGATTTCTTCAAACATGTTCCTACCAAATTTGATCAAACGTGAAATTGGCCAAACTGAGCCGATTTCAAATCTTCGAGGGTAAATTGTCAAATTTGGAAGATTTTTTTATGCCCAAACATTCAATTTTGCCTACATGTTCTTAATAATCATTTGATACAATTAGAAAATTAGCTAAAACATAGTTAATATATATTTTATTTTAACTCGTCACCATTGATTTTATTTTATTTTTTATTTTTCATATTTATTTAATTAATATTCTTTTGTGTCACATCAATATTTAAATAATAACATTAACGAGTTATGAATCTCAATTTTAAAATTTATAAGTCAAATAAATATTTATCAGTCAAATTTTTTAAAACATATATTTATAATTATAAGAATTATTAATTACAGTCGATCAAATTATAAATTTAATTATTGGGTAAAATTATAAATTTAATCATGCATAGTCCTATTTAATTTATTTCTCTAAAATAATTGTTTAATTTTAATATATATATATAGTATATTAGTTAGGTTTTTGCCAATGAAAATTAGAGATAAAACGATATTTCCAATGTGTATATTCAATTTTGAGAATAAATAAAGAAAAATTGACTAAGAATTGTATTTAAGAAAACAAAAATTGACTATTAATTTTTTATTTTTTTTTGCCTAATTTTATTTTAGAATATTATAAGATAAATATTAGACCACGTCCAAATAATTATTCAACGCTAATTCTCCCGAATTTGTGAAAGCAAAAAAAAAAAAAAAAATCAAAATTAACAATTCTTTTTCTTAAAAAAATATCATTATAATTTATATTTAATTAAATTATAATATGTAAAAGAAAATTAGTCTGGGTCTGTGAATGTGGTTATTTTGTTAAAACTTATTTTTAATATTTATACAATTACATTAGCTTATGTATTAAATGTTTAATTAAATATGAATATGAAATTTATTTTTATTGGATGTTGAGTAATTATATTATATTTCTGGTAGGATAATTGAAATTTAGACTTCCGACCCAAACAACCAATAAAAACAAAAAGGCCATTGCTTTGAGTGCTTGCCAACTCTAAAACCCACTTTTCCAACCCTCAAATCCCAATCAATCTTTTCCTGTTTCCCCATATTCTTAAATAAAACATATTATCAAATTTAATACTGAAATTAAAAGGAAAAAGTTTTTAAAACAAATAATAAATAAATAAATAGAATACATGAATTCAGATAATCCCCTTCCAAACACATCATTAAACTCGATTACAAACATAAAAATATTCTTCGATTACAAACATAAAAATATTCTTGATAAGAGTCTTAGAATTACAATTGAATTAGTTGGTGACTTAAGCCTCTATTTTCCCGTTGGGTTAGGTTAGATTGTCGGGTTGTTCTTTACGTTAATACTATATCATAAATCTCAAATACCAAACCCTTATAAGTCAGAACACATCATTGGTTTGGTTGGGTAAGATCGTAACCCTATTTGGAGGTAGGTCGGGTTAACCCCGTTCTTATTTTCTAGTTTACCCCACACTGAAAAGACCATTTTTTAGCTTCAGCTTGAGAAAACAACTGCGGAGGAGTTCAGACATGATCAAATGCACAACCAAGTAATCAAACATGTTTTGGTTGGAACAAACAGGCATGATGAATCTACTAACATAACATAAATCATCAAAAACTTAAACTAAACTGAAGAATTCTAGAAGCATACAAAGAGTATCATTGTCTACTAATAGTGATGAGTATTACCAAAATTGAAGAAAGTAGCTGTTTCCGAAGTCGAAAACACAAAATTAGTATTTGATAGGAGCAATGACTTCAAGTTGGGGTCCAAGCTTCTCCTCCGCAACCTTCTCAGCTTTAATTCTCAGCTTATTTAGCTGTTTCTTTTTCTCATATGCAGCCTGAGCTCTTTCCTTTCTCTTCCTCTCAAGCTCCTGCATTCGAATAAGATATAAATATTCAAGAACTCGCCTTCTAAATCACGGGAAAATCATCAGGTGGAATCGATAGATGAAGGGCGGGACAAGGAGAAAGGACGGGCCAAATATAACTAACAATCTCCCCACTAAGATATTTGCTTAACCCAACTAAGGTTATATGTGCTTCAATTCATAATTAAGGTTAGAGCAATATACAATTAAGGCAGTATACACTAGCACGGACACTAAACCCAAATGGGGTGAATTGGGAAGTCCCACATTGATTGGAGAAGGGAACAAGTTCCAACGAAGACGCTGGCCCCTAAGAGAGGTGGATTGTGAGATCTCACATCGGTTGGGGAAGAGAACGAAGCATTCTTTATAAGGGTGTGGAAACCTCTCCTTAGGAGACGCGTTTTCAAAACCTTGAGGGGAAAGGTCGTTACAGTTGGTTTAGCCCCTTTATCATGATCTAATGGTCTCCCCACTAAGATATTTGCTTAACCCAACTACATAACCAGGTCATATGTGCTTCAATTCATAATTAAGTTCAAACTTGTATGATCAAAAAATACTAGAAATTGAAGATCACCAGGAAGAAGCGAATATAAAACCAATGACAAAACAATAAAATAGGTTTACAAATGACGCCCAACAAGCATGATTAGCACACATAACTCAGCCCAACAAGCAGTAACATGAACTCGTAAAAACATTCACAATGAAATTCATTAAGACATAGCTGACTAATTTCAATACAGATAATATTCTCACCTTGATAGTATCATAATGATTCCATCCCACCTCGGAAGAGAGTCTGCCCAACAAGCAGTACTTATGTCCGGCTTGAAGCCTCAAAACCCTGAATTGCCAAAGAAATGTAACCAATTTGTAAATATACGATCTTAAAATCAGACTAAAAAAAACATCAAAACATAAACCCACAAATCACAGCTTACTTGAGAGCATCAGGGATGACCATCCTCTTTATCTTATCATACGGAGGAGGAACACCCTCGTATGCCTTTAAACGGGCAAGAGCCGCCGCACCACGCTTAGTCTTATGGGGAATCATCCTACAAAACCCAAATCAAAACCCCAGTCGGAATATTCATTCCCAATCGTGAAGAACCAAATCGAAAATATATAAAATGGTTAAGAAAAGAGCAAAACAATACCCACGAATGGTGCGCCAGAGGATCTTAGCAGGAGCACGGAAGTGAATGGGGCCGTGAGAGGGCTTTGTGTTCATGCGCTTCCTCAAGAAACGCATGTACTTCATCTTTTGGCGGACTAATCCACCGGAAATGCAGATCTCCTCGCATCGGACAACGACAACTTTCTGTCCATTGAGAAGCTCTTTGGCAATAATGGAAGAAAGCCTTCCCAACATATGATGCCTTGCATCGACGACGACGCGCTTGGCGCAGATACCGGAACCGGACACCATCTTCTCTGTGCAATAACTCCCGAGCGGCCGGAATTCGTCTTCTTTACTTGGGAGGACTGAATTGCTAGGGTTTTATTTAAGGGTTGCATTACGGCCTCATTCTTATTGGGCCTCTCAATTTGGACCTATTCTTTCACAGGCTTTTCATTCTTATTGGGCCTCGCGGTTTGAGCCTATTCTTCATGGGCTTGTCATTCTTATTGGGCCTCTCATTTTGGGCCTTTATCACAGGCTTTTAATTTTCATTGGGCCTCTCATTTTGAGCTTATGTTTCACAGGCTTTTAATTTTTATTGGGGCTCTCATTTTTATTGAGCCTATTTTTCACAGGCTTTTCTTTCTTATTGGGCCTCCAGTTTTGAGCCTATTTTTCACAGGGCTCTTCATTCTTATTGGGCCTCCCAATTTGAGCATATTTTTCATAGGCTTTTGCACTCATTGGGCCTTTCATTCATATTTTTTCATGGGCTTCATCTTATTGGGCCTCTTATTTTTAGCTTTTTTTCATGGGCTTTTTATTTTTATTGGGCCTCCCATAATCTTTTCACTGTTATTAGGTCCCTCATTTCGGGTTTATTTTTCTAGTTTTGAAAGAGAGCGATTTTGACGCAAACAGAATAGCCTAGAAAAAACAATGAGTAGAATCCCATTGCTCAAAATGTGATTAAATTAAACAAGGAAACCACATCAATATCCTTCTACCATTTTTCTGAAGTAAGTCACAAAATAAGGGTATCATATGGAAAGCCGAGGGGACGGCGAGAACAGAGAACTATACTAGAAGTAAACAAGTACCGCTGAGCTCTTCGGTCGTCCAAACCATCGGCGACAATAATGTCTCGGCCTAAAAGGCATCGAACACTTTCGAGCATAGATTGACTTCAGCTTTCCATACATAATTCCCACTCCCATATTCCTAGAATTTGAAACATCAATACAAGGAAAAGAAAGAAAAAATACAGTTCATACATAGGGAGTCCCCAAGATCATCATTATCGGTAGCACATCCAGACAACCTAACTCAACGATATCTTGCGCTTTACCTGTGCTAAGATTGCATAAGTGATATCAATGCCAAGTCGAAAACAAATTAAGAGGTGGTTGATTATGAGGTGTATTCGAACGGCTGGGGTGGTTGAGGCTCCTCGTCTACAGCCATGGCTGATCCCAAACCTTGCTGCCCAGTTGCCGAGCCACTGGCAGGTGAGGCTGTCGATGATGGTGCGTCGGTTAGAGAAAGCACCTCGGGTTCAGAAGGATGCAAGTCTCTCAGTAGAACAAAACCCGACGGCGCCAACTTCACTGGAACATATCTGCTTTCCTCTAGAAATTTGATGACTTTTTCCTGAGCAGGAACTACTCTGGCTGGGTTGGTCAGAATTTCAAAAGAGGGCTCAGGTTCTGTTTTCTTCTCAGGTGGGTTGTCAACCTGTCACCGTAGTAGGCCAAAGAACATGTTCCCAATATTGTCATAGTTTCTTTTACAATAAAAACTTAAGAAAAAATGCAGAGCTATAATCAATGTGAACACGAAATGCAGCATACACCTAAATCGATAGACGGGCACGAGCGATCTTATCTATACACATAAAAAACATAAGAAAACACGAAATCACAATCGCACTTTTGTTGGCGCTTACAGCCGAGCAACGTATGCTCAAGCCTCTGGCCCCGTTTGAGAAGAAAGTTTTAGAAAACAGGGCAGGGAGATTTTTGAAAGCGGGTTTGAAAGTAAGAATGAGAGAAGATTACATTATATAACTATAAGCAAAAGGTAACACAACAGCTTAAATAGCATATAACTTTCTGGGTAGAGAGAATTTGACAACTAACCTGCATAGAGTCGCCATCCTTTTCAGCGGATGATTTCCCTTTAGCAGGATTCGAACCTGTGGATGAAGATTCCGCTGCTGCAGATGACTTTTCAGCAATGCTCTTTTGTTCAGCTTCTTTCTTAGCTCTGGCTTTAGCCTTAGCTGAAGTTGACAAAACAGCAGTTGGAAGTTTTACAGCAGATGTAGTGGTGGGCGCGGGGGTCGGTTTAGGATACTCAAATAGTGAAGGTTTTGCGTGCGACAGGAACTCAAATTTCGGAACTTTCAAGTCGTAATTCAATCCAATAAACGCCGTGGGCGAGAAGGCCAGGCTGATAAAGTAGATAAGGGGATACCAATACCAAAACTGGCTGAAAACAGCAAGACCAATAACTGCAGTAATTTTGTCATGTTTGGTCTTGGACGACAACCTTATAGTAACATTCCTACCACCAGCATCCAAAATTCCTGATGCCAAGATTGCTCCCATCTTGCTCATGGTGTCTTCATGCTTGTCCAAAATTATTTTCTCCAATTGTCGCCTAAAATAAGAAATTAGAAATTCATTGGAAAATAGAGATGGAAGAATATAATAAAAATAAAAATAAAAAGACAATACCTGAACGCTCCAACACGGGAATCACTGGCTTCACTAATCTGGACCATGACCATAGCCATCGCAATAAGTGCACCTTGTCGTACGAAATCAACAACATCTGATGTTAGGGGCTCCAGCAAGGATATAGCCTCACTCAGGCCAGTACCTGCACAAGATATGCCCACTGCAAGAGCAGCACCGTATCGAACATGTGGGTTGTAAGATTCAGACAGCAAGGAGACAATTCGAGGCGTCTGAATTTATAAAAAAGTGAGATCAGAATTTGTAATATAAGAGATAAAGGGAGAAGATTGCTAAGCTGGAAGAACTCGTTCTTAAGAATTGATAGACCACTAACCTGCTCGGGCTCTGAGTAGAGGACAAACCCAAGGGCAAGAACAGCCGTTCTCCTAACATCATCACTCACATCAGATACAGCAAAATGAAGCAACTGGCGGATTGCCTTGTTGTTTGCTGTACCACGATATGCCAATGCTAACGCGTACATACCACCATAACGAATTATAGGATCTTGATCTCGAGTCATCTGCTCAATTAAGGTATCAGCTTCTTCTTCTCTTCCATAAACGGTGAGGGCTATCCCCAATGCAAGGCCACTGAGTAACAAGAGTATAAAAATAAGAAAACAACATAATAGATGTATAGAACACAAGTGTTCGTCCAGAGAACAAAACCATAATTACCGAATGATCTTTTCGTGCTGTGTCTCATGTGCATAGGCAAGCATCTCACTAGCCTTCTCACTTGCCGTACCAACCATAAGTAAGCCCATACTGATGCCAGCAGCTTCACCAGCAACAGCACTGTCTGTGTATAGAACACTCTTGATGTCATCATAAATCTCTTCATCAGCTGTCCCTAGAGTTGCCAAACCAAGACCCAAACAAGCACCATGTTGTATGACCTAAATCAATATAAATACCCAAAATTCATCCATACGACCCCATCATCAAGTCAACAACAACTACAAGACAGGAAATTTACAAGAATGGTTACCTCTACATTAGTACTTTGTAAGCTATCCCGAAGAAACTGTTTTATGCCTTCACCATGGTTGGCATGAATAAGACCTAGAGCATAAAGGGCACCACCCTCTGAGTAAGGACTGCCGCCACCACCAGACCCACCCTGGGGCAAGTATGGTGCCATAAGAGATCTTCCCTGCTGCAAATGGCCTCTGTGAATAACACCAAGCCCTGCTGTAGCACTAAACTTAGCCCAGTTGGTGGCCCTGCTCAACCAGTCCTAGATAAAGAAGAGAAGGACAGCATAAATATTAAAAAAACAATACATTCATTACGAAATGAAGGAAAAGGTTATAGTCCAAGATTAGACTCACCAAGTTCTCGCGGAGAAATGTATCCACGGTGGTTCCAGCATGCATGATTGCATTAGCAAAAATTGTAGCACTATGACAGACACTATTTCTCATCTCTACAGATTGCTTTATTGTCTTCAGAATGAGAAGATCCGATCTATTGGCAATTAAAGTAAAAGGAAATTTAGTTACCCTCTTTATACTTCAACCCTGGAACTTTAGTTTAAAAGGAAAGCATTAATAAGATAATGTCCTACTTGTTGTGACTGTATAAGAACTGTAGGGTCAAGTATATTGATGTTTCTCCTGATAGAATTCCCTTGATTTTTGTATATCTTTCAGCATACACTATTTCCTTTGGATCTACTTGTTGTACATTTAAATTAGGGGCAGAACTTCCATCAGTAATTTGAGCATCCTCAGGAGCAGAACTCACATGTTGAGCAGACTCCGGGTTTGAACCAGGCTGCGGCGCTGTTTCTGGAGGTCCAGGCTTGGGATTTGAAAGTCGATTCCTTACATTTAATAAAAATGCCTGGTGCTCATTCTCTATGAGATCAAAGGCTATTTGAAATGCCAGAAGAGTGTCATCCTTGTTTTCCGATCGAAGAAGCTTTTCCAATATGCTTGCAACACCTTCAGGTTCATCCAAGAACATAAGACACTGACAAATGCTCAAATAATCTGGGGAGGGCAACTTCTGATATACTTTGACAAGAAGACGAAGAACCTATAGGAACAACGAAACAAGAAAGATAAGCATGAACCTCAATACTCTCTCCTATTGTACACCTCAGATTACATATTTTAATTGGTTAACTTCCTCGAACCGTAATTCTCAATCGTTTACTCTAGAGTGAATATATGGACATTCTAAGGTCTCTGAAAGAAGAAACTATTAAGCATCCAAATTCAACAACCAAATCTAATAAATCCGCTTAATTCTATAATTGTAACTTAATACTTCCTATCAATGTTGTACACGAGCTCCAATAAAGAAAAAGAGATGGTGGGAACAAACACAAGACACGTGTAATGATAAAATGACAAGGGAAGTCAACAAAATAAAACACGATACTTTGTAATGAATTCGGTGAAATAGTCATAGCGATCCGGTTTTGAACCATTGCATATCAGTTATCATTACATGATTGAATCAGAAGGTGGCAGGGAGGGAAGGAAGATAACGAAAACATTTGAGAACTGCTACTCCTTTTAGACAAGTTATACAAAATCGTTACCCACCAGAAGAAACTACCCAAGCTTTGGATCACTTGCAGCCATAAATAAGTACGATGAGAAAGACCAAGACTTACGCTCAAGCTTATTTATGGATAACATGACCAAGCAATATGCATAATGTATGTTTTGAGAAGCCAGGATTCCGTCTTGGAATCTATTTTACATCCAATATAATAAGAAGCCTAGACTGATAAGCACAATAAACTCACCCATGAGTCAATGAAATAAATGTAACAGTCAATTTTACAATAAAAGTAGTGTTGCACGACTCACAAAAATGGAAAAATCGATACAATGGGAAAACAATGTAGAAACTGTTAAAATTGCAAATGAGCAAGTGGACTAAATCACTCACCTCAAGTCTATATTCCCTAAGGTTAACAAATGAGTGTGAAACGTTTATGCAGTAGGATAGAGTTCCTTGAACGTTATCACTTTTTGTGATTGCTTCCTCTAGTTTGTCCAATCTTCGGCACTCGATTGCAATTCCCATAGCTTGTTGGTATTTTCCATCCGTGATACACCTAAATATACAAAGGCGAGTAAGGAAAGGGTAGTAAAGAGTTGCATCATGCTATAGAGCGAGAGAGAGAGACATACTTGTTAAGCATTCTCTCTACAATAGCCTCCAACCTCGGGTCAACATTTGTCCCTTCTGAATTTGACTCTGCTGCCTTAGACTTAAGACTAGCATATTCATCGATAGCTTTAGCTGAGAATTCAAGAAAATAAACATCAATGTCAACATATCAAGTCCTTCACTTAATCTGAGACCCGTAAAATCTCCATATTGATGTCGATCATTTCATGTGTAATCATAATTTACTAACAAAATACCAAAAAACAAGTAAATATCCTTATTTGACATTATTACGATTCATCCTGAGGGACAACCTGAACTTCTGTAGAAAATCTACATATATGATTTTTTTTTGGGATACGAAAAGTCCATATGTATGAATTATAACAAATTTTACACACTAATATCCATAATTGATAAAGATAATTATCATTCTTACCTAGAAGAGTATGAACATAATCAGTATCCTCAGAAACATCGAAAATTGAACCAGCTCCAAGCGCATATGATAGGGAGTCATTAAGTTCACCCAAGTAATAGAAGACCTGAGAGTGAAAGGGGGGGTAATCTATTATCAATGTATGGAAAACAAAACAATTAATAGATCCTCCTCGAAGTTATCAACGATTCATGGTAGTTTGGATTTTCACCTTGTCGAAAGTGGATCATTTCTCACGAATTTAAATCAAAGTGTTTTAGAATCATGATAGCACGTGAAGAAAAACAATCTGTATCCAAAAAGAGTCAAGAGAGAGAGCTCTCATTTACCTTTGACACAAGTAATGCTGCCAGTTGTCTCTGATGCTGATCAAATTCTTCATCTTCATACAAGCTTTCACTGAAAAGGAGCGAAACAAATATTACAAACAGAGGTAGCACTATCATATCAGTGATATCACCTACAATATGAGTCAAGAGGCGGGCACACTTCTATGATTTCCAACTCCAAAAAATAATCCACCTTACATAAGAATTGCTGAATAACACCAACCTCATAACTACAAAAAGGTCAAGTAACTAACACCCATAACGATGAGCTAAACCTGACAATCTCTCAAACCTACTCACACAATTGTTCCACTTGTTTATAGATTCATAGCCATATGTTGCTCATATTTAATGGCTGGACATAGATCACAGTCAGGATGAACCATCCAGTTTCTAGAAAAAGATAAACAATATGTCATGTAATCAATCATGAATAATGAATTCCCATGAGTTATGAGTTATCCCCGCCAGTTTCCAAATGAAGAATGCTAACCTAGAAACCTTACATAAGAATTGCTGAATATATTACATGCATATCATAACCCGAAGACCATGTACTCTACGAACGAAACTCAGTAAATTTCTGGTTCCAAATGTTAAAGGAAAAGTTAACTAAACTAACAGCCTGAATTAAAATCCTAGTCGGCATAAAGCAAGATTCCACTTAACTTAAATCCAATGCCTAACCCAAGATTCCCCAATTTTGCCAATGCCAAGCTGAGTTTCTCCAAGGTTAAACACTTCAGCACTCCAAACTCCAATTTTCATACCAAATAAAAACACGCGTCGAAACATGAACACCCGCTAATATTTCTTAGTTTAGGCCTTTTCCATCATAAATCCACCAAAAACAAATAATCAACTCTCTCCCTCGTTAATTAACAGCCCTACAAGCCACGAAACCCAAAAACAACAACACCCAAGTACACAATTCAAGAACCCAACAAATTAAAAGGCGAACTTTCATCAAGAAAAAGAAAAAAAGAAAGAAGGAGAAAGCAAAGTCGTACATGATAGGGACGCTAGTTGAGATCTCAGGCCAAAAGTTGTCGACCAAATTGTTGAGATTCGACAGAGCATGAAGCTTGAGCGAAGGATGGGTCTCATTAAGCATCGCCAAAAGCCCACCCGCCGAGCTCACCAAAGTCGCCATAGCTTGACGATAAGAACACTAGCAAGGAGCTCGGATCTGTGGGAAATGAGGAATGAATCCAAAAATCAAAACTAGGGTTTTACAAACCCTAATGAGAAGAAAGTTTGTGGGATCAGAGAGCAAGAATGGAGATGAGAAGAAGGAATGGAGTAAGAATTGGGGGATTCGCTACTGAAATGGTTCGCTTTTTGTATCGAACCTGTCGATCTCCCAAAACCTGACTTATCCAACAAGCCAGCTCCTTTTCCTCACTTCCTTATTATTTTATTTTTTTCTTTTCATTTTTCATACATAAAATTGATTAAATACATTTAATATTCTTCTTTCAAAAGGTTCAATATCACCCTTCAACTTAAAAAAAAAAAAAAAAAAAAAAAAAAAAAAAAAAAAAAAAAAAAAAAAAAA